TTGAGGAATAGTATTATTATTCAGGTTTTAATCGCATTTAATTTGATTTTAAGTACAATTTGTTTATGTTCAATTACTATTATTTATTTATCATGAATGTTTCACTGCTTTCCAATTATATTTCCCGTCTGTCTGTTTCAAGTACCATGGCTAGCTAAATTTCTAGAGTCGGGATGCGATAATAGTAACTGAATGGATTAAATTGTTCCTAAGCTAAAATCCAAATTAACTTAATTTCTGGCTGTGACTTTTTATAATTAAAATCAATCTTTTTGTTACGAGAGTAAGAAAAGTAGAATAGGTTGGGATCAAGACCACGAGAGTGTGAGGTTTTAACCGGATAGCTAAAGTTAGGCATTTGATTTAAATACAGCGAGAGCGCTTTAAAACGAATTAGACTTTATTAAGTTTTCAAAGAGTATTTTCTAAACACTTATGGGCAAGCGAGAGCAGGCATAGGGCTTTAGGGGTATAATCCGAGATAAGACCACGAGAGTGTGAGTTGAGGGTTTTTAAACTGATAATTTCTACATAACCATTTAAGTTAAACATCTTTATATGCTTAGGTTCGATTAAATCCGCTTAGGTTCACTATATTACATACCGACCGCTTTATTATTATTATTTCCTTAGTTCGATTTAGTTTTCCTCTACTTTAACTTCTAAAAAACCAAACGTGACAACATCCGCCTTAGCTAAACTAGCAAACCTTTATAACACTAGAGTGATTACAAAGTCCCTGTGGGTTCGACATCTTTTTATTACTACCGCGATAGGCTGTGCACTTGCAGTTAAGATACCGCTAGACACATTAGGTCGATCGCACATCACTATCCACATGTTGTAATTGAAGGAAAATTGCGATCAAAAGCGCAGCGGAATTTAAAATTTTCCTTTAGCGATCCTTACGAATGAGCATGGTCAGTGATAGAAATATTTACCTCTTGTGGCGATTCAGACCTTTGATGTTGTGATCACGAGCATTGATGAAGAACAACGCCTCTACTCAGTCCACACGAACAGATCGCTTCCGGTCACAGTGCTAGCTGATCACGAACAAAAACCTTGAGTGAGAGAGAGAATCAAAAACGAAATTGCATCAAGTGAAATTGCTTCATCACAAGGGATCTATTTATAGAATCACTCGTGTGGGCTACAAGCTAAAATCCCAATTAAGGCTATAAGCTAAAAGCCCAATTAAGCTTATGGACATCATACCTTATGATGTATCATATATCACTTATCCACGTGGTACCTTACCACTTTCCGTATTACACTTAAGTGCACCGTACCTTACGGTGTTCCTTATTTATTCTATCTCTCATCAACCTGTCCTTATGTGTGTGACCCTGTAGGTTTTCGTGACGTTGGCAATTATATTAAATCACACATTTAATATAATAAACAGTGAGCGGTATCTAGCAACACATCACTGTTACCCAAGTCACGAAAATGTCATGTGATATGACCAAACCTTTTCCGTGATAATATTTGTGTTGTACAATTACCATTTTGCCCTCATGTCTATATTGAACACAAGGCATACACTGTGTCACCCTTGTCCAGTTCAATATTGGGCCCTTAGACATTCATCCTGTTATGCAGGATGAGCAAATTCCATCTAGGTCACTCATGTCCCTTAGCATGCTTTGTGAAGTACCCATCAACCGTCTTTATAGTCATCCAGTTACGGATGACGTTTGATCAGCAATAAAGTACTTGACTCTACATCTAGAGTCCATAGTGGTTTCAGGTCGAAGGGTGGTATACACAATTATCATCATGAGAATAACTTATGACACTTTGCATAACATTCTATGTAGTATTCTCATAGCGGGTCAATCCAGTATAAATATTACTCCTAATATTCATACCTATGTCAAGACTTGATAACTCCTTATCTATGATCCATGAGATGTTATCATCAATCTATTTTCATAATAATCTTAATGCTTTAATGTTATCCTACTTCACATTAAAGCTTGACTACAGATACTTTAAGAATAATGTCTTATGTTTAATGGGATCTCATGATTAAGTCACACTTAACATTTCATTAAACAAATAAACCATTCTAGGGACTTTATTATTTTGGAAAGCAAACATAATAAAGAAATGCCTTTTATTATTAATAAATAATTCGATACAAGTACCAAAAGTATTGGCCTCTAGGGCTTACACCAACAGTAATTTTGGAGTAAGAGGACAAAATAAGACTTTTGGGTAGAATGACTTTTCTTATATTATAGATATATTATTTATAATAATGAAGTGTGATCATGGTACCTCTTTTCAAATAATTGAAACTTCAATTAAGCTCATCGGCTCTATTTTCCTATAAGAGTAGATGTATCGAACTCTAATTCCTAAAACCAAGTTCTTCTTTGACAAAATTTGACTTTATAATTTTAAGAGACATTCTTTAAATCATCTCAAAATAAAAATTGTAAAATATGATTAATATTATTTTAATTTTAGTTAATGATAAGTTTTTATTTTTTATTTTTAAAAAAATAATATATCCTACATACAATTCTAATTTCCCTAAAGAAAGTTTGGATATAAGAGGAGATTTAAGACACAATCACACACATGCATATGTCTCTCATCTCTTTCGATCCATTGGGCATGTGAAATTAAATGTTTCTGGGGCTTAATAATAAGTGTGAATAAAAAATATAACTAAGAGTTACTCCAACGCTGGTTTTTCCAACAGTTTTTCAACCTGGAAAACTGCTTTTTTGTTTTGCTTATGGATGGAGTTCCCCAGTATAATAACTGGCAAAGAATATAGAGTCGCCACCATTAATTTTTATCCTAAGACGAGAATATAACGGAATAATCCTAATTGATGATACAGAAATTCTAAGTTCTTGACTCACTTTAGACGAAGGGAAGGTGTTAGGCACCCTTCATCTACCTTGTTCACAAGGATACTAGGGTTTAGGTTTAAGGTTTAGGAATAGGGTTTTAGTTTTTTAATTAGGGGACTTGCCACTGTTTTTAAGTCGTATGCCTACGTATCTTCTCATGAGGAATCAAAGTCTCAATTCATAGTTCCTAGTGTTTGTTGGTATTTTTTTATAAGATTGCGTAGAATTGCTCTTGAATTATCCCTAAACCTTGTCTGAGTTTTATAAAAGAGTGATCGTAGACGCAATTCGCAGTTAATTTTGAAAGTAATTCTGCTCGATCCTTTTTCGAAAATATCTTGAGTTTGTTATGTTAGTAGGAAAATAATTTGAATTTAGTTAGTTATTTTGGGTTTTGATTGATAGCGAGTATGGTAAGATACAAAGCAAAGGGGAGTCTGATAAAGTCTCCTCATCACGTGGTCAAAAATTGGCCATGTGTTGCTCGCGGGTAGAGTATTTGGTGAGTTGCGTGAGTTTTAAAATTTGATTTTTGAATAATTGACTGATAAAAGATGAGTCGATCATGAAGAATGTAAAAACACAAGAAGGGGGGGTTGAATTGGAGTTTAAAAAATAAGACAGTATGACACAATGGTTATTCTGGTTTGTTTGAACTCAAACTACTCCATTCCATCCGCCAAGGTGATTTCGTCTCTCTCAAACGAGGTCTTAATCCACTAATCAAAACTTGATTACACAGACACAATGACTACCGTCAATGTCTTCTTGAGTATAAACCACAACTCGATTTTCTAAAGGTATTACAAAATAAATCAAATAAGAGTGTGTACAATGATGTTTCTAAACAAAACTATATCACAATAGTGATGTATACACAAGTGTAAAGCACAAGATAAAACTGGTAAAAATATTTCTCTTTCAGTGCGTAGTAGTGTTGTATTTGATTTTTTCTTCAAGCCTTCTTTATATAGGCGAGGTATATGGGATATGAGAAGATGTTTTTGGAAGGTTGATAAAGTATTGTTAAAGCACTTTCCAAAAATATAGATCTTGTCTTGGTTCAACCGTTACTTTTTGATTCGTAATGAATGAGTTGTAATGTATCAAAAATTTTCTTCCTTGAGATTTTATCAGAATAAGAATATTGCAGTTAAGACTTTAGATCCTCAGAATTTCTTGATATTCATTAGAACCTGGATGATAAGTTGAAGCTTCTTTTACAAATCAGAGTTTTTACTATCGAAGTGTAGCTTTAGTGCTGAATCTTTAGAACAATTGTATAGATGAGTGCATTGAGACTTCTTTTGTTCTTTCAGAATTTTATTTATCAGAATACCAGAGCTTTATATATATATATATATATATATATATATATATATATATATATATATATATATATATATATATATATATATATATATATATATATATCATGTATTTGTTATTATCAAAACTATTATAAGGATGTAGAACCACACTATGTTCTAACAGATCAATCGCTTATTCGAGGACATGATGGATGAAAAATCTATTAATCCCATTATAAAAATGTTCGAATTAATTTGATTAGAAAAAGTTTTTAAATTAATGTTGATTAAATATTTATGTATAAATTGACTTACTCGAGCAATTAATCTAAGGATCTAAAATAAAGGATATGTTTTATACTTGTTTTTTATTCTTTTAACCAAAATTAACAAAGTAAATAACTTATAAACTAAAAAAGTGAGGCGAGGAAGAATTTCAGTAGTGATAGTTAGCAAACAAGCCGGGCCAAAAGCTTAAGTCCATAAATGTAATAGCTAAACCGAATTTATTATTTTAATATTAATCAAATATTAAAGAAATAATAAAATAAACAATTAAAAAAAACTAAAACGAAAATCTAGGAAGGGTGTGGGTAGAAACAAGAAGGGTATTGCTAATAGAATTATTCATGAGTCTAAACTCAAACAACTTATTGATTCTAATTTACTAAAAAAAATATTAACAATTAAACTAAAGAATTCATCTGTCTCAACCTCTAAAATTCATGATTCAAACAACCAAGCAATTCTCACACGAATGTCTTGGAAGTAACAAAAACAGTCAAAGAAGAAAAAAGAGAAAACGTAGCGGAGGGAATTACTGGCGGGTTTCGTCTACGGCGGAGAAGTGGTGTACGACGGATTCGTCGGTGAGTGCGATTTGAGCAGCACCGTGGTGCAGAGCGGATCTGCAGCGCATAGGTTGTGTGGCTGAAGTGTCGGAGTCTCGCGATGATGATGGCCTGGCTCTTGATTTTGGTCCCAAAATTCTTTGATTTTCCTTCTTTCGTTTTTTATTCAAACCTGCAATCAATAGAAAAAATAGATATCTTAGAATTGATTATTTATTTGATTCATTGTTCTGTTATTCTTCTTGATTTTGAATTCAATTCCTTATTGTTGTGAGTTTGATAAAGGGAAGGTTTATGTACTCGTTTTGAAAACATGACTCTGAAAAGATTACAATGAATTTGTGATTTTGTTTATGCTTGTATTTATCGTGAAAAAAAAGGGTGATAATTTTTGTGGCTAAGAATGGCAATGGTTTGACTCCAAGAAGAAAAAAGAAGAGATTTCGTTAAAAAAAGTAAAAAACATTATTGTATTTGTGGTATGTTTTTGTGTATCGTGAATGATTGTGTATTTACGGTGAATAGAGAAAAAATTGGCCTCTAGTAAAATTGTTAGTAGTATAATATAATTTTTTAATATAATTTGAATGAAAAAACCGGCCTTAGAAAATCATCATTTGGTTTAACAATTGAAGAAAGAAAAACTAAAATAAAAATTAATTTGAAAATAAAATTGAAGGAACCTCATATAAAAACCCTTGCCCAATAAAAATATTACACCAAAAAGTTTTTGTAACACCAAAAAATTTTAAGAAAAAATTAGTTGTGTGTAATTGAAAATCCGTGAATGTTTGTTTATATTCTGGATTGTTTCACATAACTTTTGTTTAGAAATCTTAAAATAAATAAAAAAAGTAAGAGAAATATTGTGATTGTTAAATTGTGGATGAAAAATGATGTGAAATAGTAATTTATTTATAGTGATAATTAGATTAAAAAATTAAGAAATAAAATTAATTGACAAATCAAATTTTACGTGGTCACCCAGCTAACAAATCATAAGATGAGTATGACACAAATTGACATCGATTAACTAATAAAAAAGTTTTTAACATAAAAGAAAATATTTTTGGTATTTCTTATAATTTTTACACCTAATTTTGGTAAAAAAAATATATAAAATCAAATTAATAATTATTTTTAAAAATGGTATAATAAAAAATATGAAAATTAATATTTAAATATTAAAAAAATGATTTTTTGTAATTTTAAAAATAATTAAAAATATAAATAGTTAGTAATAAATAAATAAAAATATCCAAAATGAACTAATTGATATTTGAACCCTTGACCCTATACTTCCTTACCAATTGTGTTATCTTATTTATTTTAATTAAAAAAACAATTGAAAATATACGAAGACGAACAATTATTTATTGTTTAAAAATACAAATATTTTGAAATAAATTATTATATTTTTAAATAGGCTTGAAAATAAATATTTATAAAATCCAAAATATCAGGGTAACCTAATTTTTTTTATAAAACTCTAAACTTAAAAATAATTTTGACTGTAGCATTAAGACGGACAAATTTAGAATATAACATCCACGTGAGAGATTTTAGAAAAGAGAAACAACATTCAAATTTTTGTTTTTAATATTATTAAATTAAAACTAGCAATTCAACGACTAGTATGTTTGTTTGTTTTTTTTTTCCAATTTTTTATATTATAAATATAGGTTTTAGAAAAATAATTACCAATACAATCTTTCTTTTACTTTTATTTTCTTTTAAATTTTAAATTTCTCTCTCACAATTTCATATTTTATTATTTATTTTTTTTATAAAAAAATTCTACAATTTCTTCTCAGTATTTTTCTTTTGACAAAATATTTAACTCAAATTTTCATCTTTTTACTTCAAACTAAAATTGTTTAGGTCAAATACATCTTAAACTTTTTCATTATCAACATGTTATGTTCAATAATATGCAAAATTAAATAATTAAAAGTTTAATTATATATCATAAATTTGAGATTAATTTTAATTATCTTTTTTAATCATAAATTTAATTTCAATTTAATTTATTTTATATCAATTTAAATTTAACTAATTAAAATTATTATTGTACTTGATATAAATTTAATATATATAAAATATTAATATATAAAATAAAATTGTGAGATCTAATATAAATTCTTCAAAATTACTTCATTAAAGTGAAAATTTAATTGAGTTACTTCAACCTAACGTGAATTAATAATTTCTAAAAAAAACTCAAAAGTGAATAACCCATTGGAGATTAGAGATGCTCTAAGTAGAAAAAAAAGAGGACATCTCATCATTACATTTGCCACACCACTTTTTTCTCTCTACCTTAACATTAATTTCAACAATTCTTAACCACATTTCTTGACTTACAAAATATCAAATTATATTTCATCAGATTTCAAAATATCAAAATATAATTATATTTCAACCTATTACATTTTTCAATTCTAAAGGTTGGTCCAGCGGTTGAGGCTTGGTACCAAGATTTAAAAAAAAAAAAAATTATATTTTTCCTTTTAAAACTTCACAACTATCTAGATGAGAGAAATATACCACTATTATTTTTGACAAAACAATAAAAATTACAATTTACAAATAAGTAAAAAAGTGTAACAATTTTACGTGTCATGGACAACAGCATACTGTGGCCAATAATATAATTGGACCCAGTCACTTACATAATGCCATTGTATTGGGCAGTTTATAGCAAAAATTTATTTTCACGAAAGTTGTGATGGAACATGTTGACTACAGCATGTGCGAATTAAAGAATATTCATACACTCCATTATATTGAAAAGCAAACCATTACGTAGCAATTAATATACATGCATACCAGAAAAACTAAGGAGATGGTGAAAAGAACTAACTAACAACATTCAATTAATGAAAAAAGTTTTATTGCACAAGCACTCACAAAAGCCATAAAATATAATGGTACATCTGGCCTAAAATTAATAAGTTTCTTTCAAAAATAATGAAGTTATAATGATTGAAAGTAGATAGAGGAAAACAATCTCACCACATTTCCACCGGTAACATATGTAATGTATTCATAATAATAAAAAAGTGGTATGAAACTAAACAAAATAATAGAGTTTTTTATCTCACAATTTTATCATTTTTATTCTGTTTTTCTTTTACAAAAACATTTATATTTAATTGATTTTACACATTGAGATGTCTGAATTACATATTCAAAAGCAAGTCGTTTACCAAATAAATTTAATTTTCTTCAATTAAATTTGTTCATTTTGGTCAATTTTTATATTATTTATAATCTTTGATAGACTTTGATTCATAATTCTCATTAGTTAAAAATATATAATATTATAATAAAAAAATTATATCATATTTGTCACGGTATAAATATATCAAACAAGATATTTTACAAAATTATTTTTCAAACACAGTGCAACATATAATATTGTATTGTTTTGTATAATTTGTCTAATAATTTATTGTTGAATATAATGGACGTGCACCTAAAATATAAAATAATTTTAAACAATCTTCCAATATAAGAATTAATAATTTTTGATGTCACTCAACTAATTTTAATATTTTTCACTAATTTGATGGAATACACATCGATTATTGAATGTTAATGTAAATATATTTTGTATTAATAATAGCTGCAAATATAATTCAGACCAACTAATATGGATCTACGTCCTAGAATACATAGACTAAGGTTAGATTAGACTTTTTTTTTAAATAGAAAAGAATTAGATTTTTTTATAAGTCTATTTAGTTCAAAAAGATTAGATCACAAATCATAAAAATAACCTTTAAAGCCTATTAGACCAGCATATTTAAATAAATATGGATTGTTATGATATGATCCAAGTTAAATAATTCAAGTCCTAAGCTTTTAGTTACTTTGTGTAGAATATATATATATATATATATATATATATATATATATATATATATATATATATATATATATATATATATATATATATATATATATATATATATATATATAGTTTGTAATTCAGTTTATACAATTTAATAATAGTAATTATTATTTCATTACTGTCATTTTCTCTTTCTTTCTTAACTAAAAGTGTCTGATGTACTAACAAATTTGTATCTAGAGTTTCTGATTTGTGTTCGTGATCGTGTTTTCAATAACTTCACGTTGGTGGTCGTGTTTCTAGGGAACGTGAATCAATTGCTGCAAACATGAATGGTACTAATGGTATTCTGAATTCTCTTCCAATTCTTGACGGCCAAAGTTGGAATCGATAGTGCAAGCAGATAAAGTCATTGTTCATTTTTCATGAAAACCTAGAACTTGTCGAAAACGGCATTACCGAGCATGCTCAAGATGCAATCGACGTTGAAAAAACTGCCCACAAGGAGGTGAAGAAGAAAGATTGCAAGACTGCATATTGCATTCAATCAGCGGTAAATTCGATGAATTTTGACAAGATCTCTCATGCTGAGTCGGCGAAGAAGGCATGTGATATTCTTGTCAAGTATTATGAAGAAGGTGAAAAAGTAAAAGTTGTTAAATTGCAAACTTTGGAACGACATTATGAACTAGTGCAGATGAGAGAAGATGAAAAGATTGCAGGCTATATGTCGAAGGTGCGGAATCTCGTTCTCATGACGAATTGTGATGAAACCCTAACTAATAATATGATAGTTGAGAATGTAATATGTATATTAATCTCTCACTTTGATCACATTAACTTTGTTATTCAAGAATCCAACAATCTTTATTTTGAAATCCTAAAATTGGAAGATTTGGTTGGCTCGTTGGAGGCACATTAGATTAGGATTGTCGAAAAGAAAGGGGTTCAAGATTCGATACATATGTGGTGGAATTGTCATCAAGTGAGGCTGAATATATAGCAGAATGATATGTTGCATGTCAAGAAATTTAGATTAGATATGTGCTAGAAGAGATCGAGGTCAAAGTGAAGAACCTCTGGTGTTGTAGATCGACAACAAGATAGTCATTAATATTGCACAGAACCGAGTTCTGCATGGAAAGAGTAAGCACGTCGAAGCTAGATTTCACTTCTTAAGAGAGAAGGTAAATCGAAGCGAACTTGAAGTAAGACATTGCTCAAGTGAAGCATAGTTGACCGACATTTTCACCAAAAGATTGAAGATCGACAAATTCCTTAATTTGAGAAAGAAATTAGGAATAATTCAAATAGACTGTGATTAGCGTATGTTCGACAACTTGGATTATAGAGAGATATGTTTTCATATAATCCAAGTTAAGTAATCAAAGTATGACCTCAAGTTAATTAGGATTTGTTAGTTAATTAGTATACAAGTCATAGATGTGTGTGTGCGTGTATATATATATATATATATATATATATATATATATATATGCCCTTGATCAGGAAGTCGAACATATGCCTGTATATGTAAAATATAATACACCGGTCATACTAAAATAAAGGACAGACTAGAAGGGACCTAACCAGTCCTTGATTGGGAGATTTCATCCCTTCAATAGCATCACTTGTACTTATTTTAAGCTCTTCACTGGCGAAGACATAAATGATAGGATTATTTGAGAGAAGAGCTGTGCCCTACCTATTCTACAAAACCTTATCCTAGTTTTTACTTTATTTTTTATATATAAGCATTCATCAATGGATTCTGCTTCCATTTCCTTAATGCTAATTACAAACTAATTATCCTCATCCCAAAACCCCTTACAAAGAAAGGTAGACGTTCAATAAGAGAAAGCTTACCTTTCCCCGAGAGAGACCATAGGATAAAGTCAGCGTGCAAGAGCTAGAGAATCCTGGGGTATAGTGAGAGACCTGGTGAAAGCTTTTAGAGTATGGCTATCAGTCCTAAGTTTAAGCTAATCACTCATCAACTTATGTAGTCCGCCTATAGCCCAGCCTTTAAGCATCAACTGAAGATCCAATGTGATAGTCGTTCTCTATATCCAAATGATAGAGTAGGAGAGGAGTAAGCTAACCTTATCCAACCTATGTATACATAAATACCTATATAGCCTATCAGCGTTGTACCCTTTTGCGAGCAAGTCAGCCTCTATTTATTAAACCCTTTATAGAGTCACCAGCTAATCCTAAAATCCTTGGTGCGTAAGCAAGCTACCCTTTAGTAGTTAGCAACCCTCCTAAGACTTGTTTTTAGGAGTAACCTAGGATATTTTTAAGTTATTTATAGGAAGACGTGCTATATGAGTAATCTATCTTATTAGACATTTGTTGTACCCCAAAATTTTCCCTCCCATATTCTTCAAGATTTGCCAAGTCAAAGCTTCAAAATTTCCCCAAGGGTTGCACAATTCAAGGGCCTCCTAAACAGTCAAAAACTAGGGTTTTGGTTCTGACAAAGAAAATGAAGTTTCCAAGGGTCCAATCAAGTCCCACATGCTTATAAACATGGTCAAACATCCTCATACCAAGTTTCAAGACTTACAACACAAAATTGCACAGTCAAAAAACCCTAATTGCACTACAGTCAACTGTAGGGGCAAAATGGTCATTTGACAGTCAAAAGTCCAAATTTTTGGTCAACATCTCATTTTGAAGCCACAAACATCATTTTATCAATGCTTGATCATGATTCTCAAAGCTTGGCTCAAAAATCATCAAGATGCAAAAGTTTCCATATTTGGACAATTGAAAAAGTCAACTGTAAATTGACCAGGGCATAACTTCCACATGGATTATCAGAAAAATTCCATCCAAAGCTAATTTTGAATAGAAAGACATTTCCTACAACTCCTCTTCACACTTCAAGTCCAAGAAATGCTCTCACAAAAAGTTATCAATTTCAACATTATAGGTCATTTTCAAAAGTCAACAAAAAGGGACTTTAAGTCAAAGGCCATAACTTGAGATTGGTAAATTAAAATGACATGGGACCAAAGGCATTGGTTAGAGGACTCAAATACCTTTCCAAAATGTCCAAGAACATGAGCAAATCTTAAATATTGAGCAAGATATGCCTTGTGGAAGTTGGGAAATTTTTGGATATTTTGAAAAGTCAACATTGCTTCAAATGACCTAAAAATGCTAATGGGCCTCTTTTTCTTCCACAATTCATCATCCAAGGCATGTGCACGACTATGTGGCCCAAAGGGAAGTTTTTTATCATTTTTATTTATTTATTTGGATTTTTTATTATTAATAATTCATTTAATTAATTAAAATACATGAAAAATACCAAACCAATGCAATCAAATCTTTTTGTGCATGGAATAGGTTTAAAATTTCGTGCATGATCATATATGGAAGGAATTGAAGTGATTGGCCATGATTTGTACCAAATAGGCATGAAAAAATATTTGAAAAGATCCTTAAGAATCAAATCTTGAAAATCATGAATGCAAAGGTTTTGATT